TATGTCTTGTTCAGCTAAAAATATACAGTCTGCCACATACCCACAAACTTATAACTTGTATACATTCTACTAAAAGTTTGGCTATTTGAAAGAATTGAAAATTTAAAAATATGAAAATTTACCAAAAAGGCTTACATAAAAAACTAGTTCACTGTAACATAGCAATAAAACTTTATTGAATTAATAATTATAATGAAATAAAAATATGTTGTACGTTGGCAAACATTTTTGCTTTTCATAACATAAGTGGATAGACCTACTGGCTTTGAGCTTTAATTTTGAGTCGTATATTAGTTATATACTAAAGTCCAGACGGAAGAAACGAAAATATTTCAAAAAGATTACCTGATTGTCTTTCGATAAAACATTTACCACATCACAAGTAGATCAAGAAACCACAGCTTCGCTTGATTTGTAAAACTGGGAAAGCCCGGAAACGAAGAAACAATTTTAATTTATTTTAAAAACAAAAAGTTAGGAAAAAACTATTCACCGAAAACCTGATTTTTTATCAAAAACCAGGAGGGAGATGACTCATTTTTTTGTCTTTGGATCGCGGTTTGTCAGCGGTAACTACCCAGGCCATTTAGGACCATGTGGCGTCAGCAAAGCCTAAAATCCGTCATCTTTTTGGCTTCACTTGATGATGACGAACCGGTCCTCCAGGAATTATAATATAGCTCAGTGCATGCAAGTCATTCCACGTGTAAGCTATGTTGCAATAACACACTTGTGCGCATATCATCTCGCGTGGAGGCCGCGCATACTTTCGTTAAAAATTGACTGTTCCCGAGAAAAACGGTCTCCCAAAGTTGCGTTTACTTAAATCCTTCACAACTCTCATCCTGGTCGGTCTTTGTTGGGTATAACACAGGGGATGAATCGCGCCATTCGCCCTCAGCCAATCAGCCTTCCCATAAGCCAATGGTCTAGTTAATGATTATGCTGTATTTTCTTCATTAGATGCGCTCTCTCTACTTAATTTAAGTATCACCCTAATAAAAATACTGTATAGTGAGCTAGGATTTTGCATCAATGAAATCATATCAGCAGTGTCGACGAATGATTTTTCCATGTGCCTCATTAGCAAAGTGGTTAGAGCACTAGGCTAGTAAACCACGAGTCCGGAGTTCGAATCTCTGACGAGGCTCTTCACATTTTCCACTTAAACTCAATAATTATCTACCTAATATAAATGAGTTTTGTGATTGGCTTTTTGTAACAATAGTGAAAAATGTTTACGATTCGTTCTTTTAGAAATCAATTTCTATAATAATTATTTGTGTTTTATTTCGTGGCCGTTTCATTTTACGTTTGCGAAAGTATCAAATGTTTGCCTTATTAGCTCAGTGGTTAGAGCACTGGTCTCGTAAACCAGGGGACCGGAGTTCAATTCTCTAATAAGGCTTAACTGTTTTGCCTGTGTATGGTGAGGGTGAGTAAAAGACTCCCGTACAAGCCAGGCCAGAGGCCAATACATCGAAACCATTTGCTCTTAAAGCTCAGTAGACCATCTAAATGCCATTTTTATTCAAAAACATATATTTTTTCTGAAATGGGCCATAATAGAAAAGCCAGATACGCGCCAGATAGCTATATACGCGCATGCACATTATTAAGATAAAGTATTCATATATTCGTGGTAGCTTGCACATACGCCTCATTAGCTCAGTGGTTAGAGCACTGGTCTTGTAAACCAGGGGTCCAGAGTTCAACTCTCTGATGAGGCTTTTGTTGTCATACTTTTGTAAATTATAGGCAAGTATAGCTATTAACTATGGCAACTATATAATTTATCGTATTCAGAATCCGAAGTGCTAAGCATTACACCACAGGACATAAACACCTAGAAAAAGTACCGAGAAATTCCTGGCTCTACACTATATCTATGCACGCACATTATTAAGATAAAGTAATTATATTCCCTGTATTCCGGGTATGCACTCCCGTTTTACAAATTTATAGAACATGCATGTGTCCCAGAGAGTCATTGAAAAAACACTAAACTGCAAGGGTTATTTATCAAGCAAACGGATTGTTGCAACGAAAATAAATTGGGTTTTTTAATTCACTAATTAGTAGGATAAAAATGTTGAATTTTTCTTTCATTTATAAAAGAGAAGGGAGCGAGCGGAGTTGAACCATTGACCTCTCGATCTGCAGTCGAATGCTCTACCACTGAGCTACACTCCCTGATCGTGCATACCAGTGTGATGTTATTCTCCTAGATACCTGAAAGAACATTTCCTGCTGTTCTTACCTTATTCAAAATAGCACGAGTTTTATATTCATGGCATTGAAGCAGTGTGTAGCAAGCATGGTGGCGCAGTGGAAGCGTGTCTTTGTTGTGAGAAATCCCCTTGATCGCGGCTCTGTATTGGGGCTCAACGGTGCTGGTTCCGTGGCCGGGGATTGTAGTCCGGGCCTTTCCCGGGCTGCTGACGAAAAGGCTCGAACATGGATTGTTTACCGCTGTTACCATGGCGCCTCGCACCTACTAAACTGTCCATTTCTTTTGCGAGTTTCAGGTCCTATAATATGGCTTTTTGGAACTTCTTGCAACTTCTTGCCAAATAAATCCAAAGATTGATGAGGGACGAACAAGTCTGTGTCATCCACTAGGTCGAAAGTTTCCAGCGAAACTTTGTTCAATAAGCCCCTGCGACGGTCGACAAGACCACAATGGCACAATGTGATCGGCATTGCCAATGAACAACATTGCTCGATAAACGGCCTCCACAACAACAGCTTGATCGACTCCTGTATTTTCAGTTCGAGCTGAAATAGCCGTTTCCCATAACTGTGACAGAGGACCTAATGGGTTTAGAATACGACCAGCTAGATTCAGTTGGCGGCGGTCCATGGCGGAGTTAAAATTTGCTCCTTTTCGATTCAAAAATTTCTTAACAAACGAGTCGGCCTTTTTCGGCCGTAAACTTTTATGAAAAGGCACTGGGAAATCTCGTGCCATCGCAATTCTGGTTTATTTCAACAAACTCTCACAGGCAGCCGCAGCTGCAAACTCAACAATCTCACTCCGCGATTGTACTTTCACAGTTTTCGATGGAGGAAGAGGCAGCTATTAGAGACCTTAAGCATGTAGGACGAGAACAAGACAACGGCAGTTATCAAAACAATGGTTCATTGAAAAGAAATGAATTATTAAATACCTATGAGAGGTTTAGACCCTGATCTACGTTCTGTTTACAACGGCAGAACGTCGTTTATTACGTCCTAGGTAGAACGTCTGCCTTTCAGGACCCAGTAGGCGCTTCCTCGAATTAGCGGCACTACAGAATTGTCCCTAAACTTATTTCTCAATAAATTGGTACAGTTGATAATATAGAAGAACGCTTTACCATAACATTTATCTAAAGGAGTATTCCAACCACGTCGTCTTCGTGTTGTCATCCTACATACTTAAGGTCCCTAATAACGAAGTATTGGGGCTAGCGATTCCCCATTCGAAGGTATTTCCTTCACCGAAGCCATAAAAACATCCGATGAAAAAATGTTTTGGACGTTGAAAAAAAAGTACAACTGTGTCAAGCGACTTATGAAAAACTAAAGTTGTGTGGCCAGGTTGCTAAGCTGTCACCACTGTGACGTCTTTTATTTGTAGTACTTAGGCTTCATGCATCAGCTGTGTATTGTGAGTTTTTGGAGAATAAAACATTGTTATATCGAAACTTCTGTGTTAGAAATATAATTGATATTAATATCAATACTTTCCAGTTGAAGCTAACTTTGAACTGAGAGGAAACCTGATCATTGCTATGTCACTGAGGTTCTCTCTTTTACTGTATGAAGTTTGAATGTGAAGGCCTGTTAAGTTCTTCTTTGTGACACCTTCTTTCACACCAAAGTTTTCTGCTTAACTCATAAAGTGACTTAATTGCATGGTAAGCTTGTCTTAGTGCAGACATGGATGGATGCATAAGCCATTTTTATAATTATTATGCAGCTTGAGGTGAATAAGATCTTCCATAACAGATTACAGACTTGCTCCAATGCGTCCTTTTAAGCCTTTGAAATATTTATTGCTTTGTTTTTGAATAGGCAGGTAGTGTGCTCCCTACATAATGATAGTGTACGTGGCATATATTGACCCATTGTGTGATTAGATTGAGTAGATACATGTACCTGAAAACTAGAACAGTGGCCAAAAGTCGTAGTCGCCAAGCTTTCGGGTACCAGTTTTTTGGCAAATTTCGTACTAAAAAGTCCAACGACTACGAGAAGGACGAATCTCGTACTCCTACATGCTGAAAATTAACTAATGTCATTCCATGAGAAATTCAACAACACTCTTTGATTCAGGTAAAGATCTGGTTAACACTCTGTGCTTTTTCATGAGCTGAACCTGAACGTCAGTTCTTTGCTGAAACTCGTTTTCAAGTTAGGCTCTTGGAAAATACGGCGTCTAAACCCCCCTCTTCCAGGTATCCCAACAGGTGACTTAGTTGAGACGCTAGCTTCCTTTATTCGGTTTCGAAGAGAAATGGCAAGGAGGAATTCATTTGCAGGCTACGATGAGGAAAGATTCGTAAATAAAGTCGCCCAAAGGCTGCTTTGTCCGTTCTGGTTTAAGATGGTCAAAGACGCAGTGCGCTAACAAACATTATTTTTGTCGTTCGTGTATTTGCAACTGTTTACACCAAACCTCAGAAACCTGCCCAACTTGTCAACATCACATCACGGAAGAAAGCTTGGCCAAACCAACGAGATTTTTTTTGGAAACTTTGCAGCGTCTCAAGATACGTTGCGATCGCGCAAGCCGTGGTTGTCGAGAAGTGGTCGAGCTTGAATTTTTCGATCGACATGTCGAGAGATGTGGCTATTTACCTACACGTTGTACAAACACGGGTTGTTCTGAATTTATCAACCGAAACGAGGAAGAGCGACATGAGAACGAACTTTATCGTTTTCGTAGGATTTTCTGTGACGAGTGCGGAGAACAAGTGGTATGGATGTCAAAAGCGGTCCATATATTTTGCTTTATGCAAAAGGAAATCGATAATTTTGTGAAAGGAAGGAAGGGATTCAAAGCAAAAAAGCTGGCTCAAGACGAGTTTAAGTTGATGGCTGACTTTCAAAATGTTGCCGTTGATGATCTAGGCCGAAAAAACGAGGGAATTGGATATGAGATGAATAACATGAAAGTAAACGGAGGATATATTTCAACCGAAGCAACTGAGAGAAATGAATGGCTCACTTGCAAGCAAAAGATTTACGTTTGCGGAGGGTTTGATGGAGAATTCATCCTCAATTCCGTGGATTCGTTCAGTTTGCCTGAGAACTCCTGGAAACAAGAGCCAGCGATGAACGTGCCACGATCAACTTTTGCAGCGTTTGTTTACCAGGGGCAAATCAATGCAACCGGAGGTTGGGATGGAAGCGAGTACACTAACAGCATTGAGAGGTTTCGTGTCTGCGAGAGTGATACTGAATGGGTCGGGTCTTTTGTCAAGATACCAATCAAATGCAACGGTCATGGGATTGTTTGTCGTGAAAATACCGTCATTTTAACTGGTGGACGTGATGGGGACATCGTTTCAGATAGAATTCACGAAATTAAACTGATTCCCCCATACACGACGAATTTATTGACCCGGTTGCCAGAGAGAAGATGTTACCATGGTTTCCAGATCATTGGCAACGAGGTCATCGTTGCTGGTGGACGGACATCAACATGCATCGAAGACGCTAAAAACACTGTTTATGCGTACAATATTAAGAATAATGAATGCAGAACTCTATCGCCACTACCATATCCCGTCGCCGCTATGGCTACTCTTTGTTATAAAGGTAATGTAATTTTGATCGGAGGTCATAACGAGAAAGACGAAACCTTGAACACAGTATTCATGTACGAAGTGAAAACAGGAAAAATTAAGATGTTACCTTGTCTTAATCATAAAAGAGAAGGAAGTGCAGCAGTTATCACTGGCAATATGATCATTGTCATGGGTGGTTATGATTACGAAAGTGATACCTTCTTAAATTCAGTCGAATGCTTAAATTTAAGTAGCGATAATGAGTGGAAAGAATTGTCACTGATGACAAAGAAACGAGGTTTTGCAACTGCTGTCCTCGTGAACTAGAATATTATAATCAAGTGAACTATCGGAAAGAAAAGTAACGATAAGCATCAGAAAGAACTGATAAAGTACATATTAGTGTAATATCAGGATTTAGAAAATAATAGTTGAGCTTTTATAGTAAATTCATACTACGTGATATAGCTACCACTCCACCATACGCTTCAAACAAGTAAATATGTTTTAAAAATAAATCTGGTAAGGACGGTAAATATTCTGATGAAAGTTGACTCGAAAGTCGTGCTGATTCAAACACTCATTGAAGTGCAACGTCCAAAACAAATCAGGCATCGCAAGTGTGAAGCTTTGGGTCGCTCGTAAAGATTGACGAACTCACAATCTCCTCATATGGAAGAATACCAAAGATATTACTGTGGCTCGTAGCCTTGCTGGTCTAGTGGCCTGACTCTCGCTTCGTGTACGAGGGTCATGGGTTCGATTCCCGATAAATAGACCTTTTTTACATAATGTAAACCGCGAAATTCAGATGCAGGCTGCAAAGTGGGACTTATTATTTGGGACAGATTATTTCTCCAATTGTAACTCCAACTCCAATTTTTTCAGACAAATACACTGGTTACACATGATCATTTTACTCTCATTCCATCTCACAACTTCACTTTAATCTTAGGCTATTAACATCCGGCCTTCCGGGCTGGGCTTGCTGGTCTAGTGGTATGATTCTCGCTTCGGGTGCGAGAGGTCACGGGTTCGATTCCCGTGCAAGCCTTGGATGCTCCTCCCACTTCCAAGAACTCGTTTTCACATTATAATTGGTTAATTATTTTAATTAGCTTTAATTAGGTTAATTAAGTTAATTAGTCTTATTGACGTGGTGTATCTCTATCCGGACAAAAGAGAGTGTGACTTTACTTTGACTTCACTTCATTAAAAATACAAAACAATCGTACCGTAACCATTAGCGTCACTTGGGCTGCATATTACCAACTTCTGGAAAGATGGTGCTTTAAGGCGCCGTGTACTTGTATGTGATATTTTATAAGCTACGAATAAGATATACAGTGTGTGAGATTTGAGAAAATAAATCATGGTGGTGTAGTGGTGAAGATGGTGATCTGCCAAACATAAATTCGATGGCTCAAGTCCTGGATAAACCGACTGAAAAGAACAAAGGTAATAAATTGGGAATTTGTGAGTGGAAGAGGAGTAGAGTGAGAGGGCGAATATGCCCTCGCCCTGGGAAAGGGGTAGACTGAGCGGGGTTGTCTTTTCCCCGTCTTTCCTCACTTTCAAAGCAAGCTTACTTCAAATATTCAATTGTCTTAGGGGATAGTTAGCGATATCTGAGGATAAAAAAAGTAGGGATAGATAGGAGTAAATAAGAGGAAAAATAGGCTTAAAGAGGTTTAAATGAGTGCAAAAAGACTTGTAAGACTTCTTTTTATATAGTGTTTTCTCACCGATACCCTTGCCCTGGGAGCCGAGGCCACCCAATTACTAAATCGTTTTGTACTTATATACCCCTCATTCACCCTACCTATCCCCCGATTTCCCTAAAGATTAACTTTGATTTCCAAAGATTAACCGAGTATAAACCGCCCCCGAGCAACATACCTACAACTTTTTTTTCTTTTACTCCATGAGAAACGTACCACCTTGTGTTTGATATCTCGATCTTTTACTTAATAGTCCACGACTTTACCACAAGGCTAACAGGCGATTGTTGGAAGCCGTATTGTTGGAAGACTTATTTTCCATAACCTAACCATATAATATTCATACCGAAAATTTCCATCTTAATCGAGATTCGAACCTTCGGCTGTCGACACATAAGACCAACAACTTGCCAACTAGAATACAAGATCTTCTCCTGAACGGTTAGGGTTATTTAATTTACTTTATTCTTTTCACGAAGTTCATAATAAAAAAGGGTAATGGTAGCATTCAAACCTTTTCGGAGACAATTGTCTTCGCCACTCGAGTCGAGTAGCTCGACTACAAGATCTTGTGCTGAACGGCTATGGTTATTTAATTGACTTTATCTTTTTCAAAAAGTTCATAATAAAAAAACTTACGGTAGGATTCGAACCCCCAGCTTGGAAGCCGGGAGAGCATTGCCTCACCACGACCAGCTGAACTTGCGGCGAAATACGACCATATTTTATTTTCAGTGGGGAAGGCATGCCAATTCCAGAGAACCTATTAATGTGCCCACGACGTAAAATCTGTGGCAAAATAAAAAGGTAGGTTTCAAGCTGTCAGTGGTAAAGAGTGGTTAGGGCGGCAGACATATAACACGGATAAACAGTTCAGTTAAATATCTTGGTTTCATTCCTCGTATTGCCTTAAATGTTATTTGTTCGTCGCGTTGTTTTAGGATGTGCCTGATTGGTTCCCATTGTAGTGTTTGAAAAATCTCTGCACTTCTAATGTTAAAATTTGAATTTGTGATAACCCTAGCGGCTCTTTTTTGTAGTTTTTGGAGTTTGTCAATATGTGTGGTGTTTCCGTGATGCCACACTGTCGAACAATAAGTAAAATGGGGTAAAACTAGGGAGTTATACATCATCTTAAGGGCACTGTCAGTCATGTAGTTTTTTGCTCTTCTCAGTAAAGCGATATTTTTAGAATTTTTTTTGCATTGCGCATCAATATGGTCATGCCATTTAAGGTTATTGTCAACAATTACGCCTAAGAATTTTTTATTATCAACCCTTATAACCTTTTGTTCGGCAATAGTAATTTCAGGGTCTGATAGAATTTGGTTTAACCGTTGTCTGGATCCTGTAATCATGTATTCTGTTTTACTAATATTTAGGGTTAATTTGTTCGAAACTAGCCATTTATGAACGTTATCTAAGTCAGTGTTAATTTTGTACTCAATATCTACCGCTGATTTACCATAGCAGAAAAGGTTAGTATCGTCCGCAAACATGGATGGTTTTGTGAGGTTAAGCAATTTGGCAAGTCATTGATGTACAACAGGAAAAGCAAAGGTCCGAGAATCGACCCGTGGGGGACGCCACAAGTAATATTTTTCATGTCTGAGATTTCGTGGTTAATTTTACAAGCTTGTTTTCTTTCTGTTAAGTAAGATATAAACCATGATAATGTTTTTCCTCTTATTCCGTAAAGTTCTAGTTTAGAAATTAGTATTTTATGATCCACCGTGTCAAAGGCTTTCTTAAGGTCCAGAAACAGTAGACCATTAATCAAGCCCTTGTCCATGTTTACAAGACATTGGTTTATAGAATGTAAAAGTGTAGTCTCTGTAGAGTGCTGGGTACGAAAGCCTGATTGATTAGGTGATAGTAATTGGTTAGCTTCTAGAAATTGGCTCAGTTGTCTGTGAATTAATTTTTCGAAGATTTTTGCAACTGCTGATGTTACTGAAATGGGCCTATAGTTCCCACAATCCCGTTTTTTCTCCTGATTTATAAATAGGGGTAACCTTTGTGTATTTTAATCCATCTGGGAAAATTCCTGTGTTTATTGATAGATTAATAATATAAGTCAAGGGAGTAATAATGGTTTCTTCTGCTGCTTTGAGAAGTTTATTTGAAATTTTATCAAGTCCTGCTGATTTCCCATCTTTAGCTTTCCCCAGTTCGTTTCTTAGATCTGCATTAGTAATGTTATTTAAATTGAAAACTTCTGAGGTAGGTGTTATAATACTGAGAGGGTCAATTTCACTTGCAGGTAAGTCCTCGCTTAATTTTGAGCCAATTGTTGAAAAGTAAGTGTTGAATTCTTCTCCTATATTTTTGTCTCCTATTATTTCGGCTTCACCAGTTTTTAATCCATTTATTGTAGTAGATTTTGAATTTTTGTTCAGTAATTCATTAATTGTTTTCCATCCTTCCTTACTGTTTTTGCTGTTTGCTAATTTCTGCTTTTAGTATTTAGTCTTACGCCTGTATTCTAAAAGCTCACTCACACTCAAACTCATTGAGTGGGAGATCTTAATCTTCTCATAACGTTTCAATGGCGGTATTTTCGGCCGAACAGGGGCTTGATTTTCAGTGATTTACCTTATATCTTTTCATCTATTCAGAGAGAACTTTCTCATTGATCAGCATTAACGAAATTTATATGTCACACTCGATGAGTATGAGTGTGAGTGAGCTTTTTGAATACAGGCGTTAGTGTCTTTAATAAGCTGATTTACTTGGTTTCTACAATCCTTGTATAATTCGTGATATCTTGTTGAATTGTGTTTAACTGCTTTCTTTTTTAGGAAATCTCTATGGTAGCTCATTGTCTTTATTTCATTTGTCATCCAAGGATTGTATTCGCTTTTAACCTTTCGTTTTATTACTGGCGCATGGAAGTCTGCAATATTTAAGAAAGTTTCTTTCCATGCATGCCAAGCAGTGTTTGCATCAATGTGACTATGAAGATGCTTTGAATCAAATGCCTGGTTTAAATCATGCTGGAAGTTATGATTATTGAAATTTTTGAATTGCGGTGTTTCAACTATTTTGGGCTTTATTTTTGGAATACTGACTTATCTGCATGTGTAAACAAGGCTATGGTCACTGATTCCTAAGTGTATAACCCCTGAGTCCGTTATTCTTGTGTTATCTATCTTAGTAATTATTATGTCTAATAGTGTTTTTGTTGTAGCAGTGATTCTTGTTGGGTCCTTATTGATTTGTGTAAATTGATATTCACTTAATTTTTTTGTATGCTCATTAAAGGTTCGGTTGGAAGAAAGTTACAATTGAAGTCACCAGCTATGATTATTTCTTTGTCTTCATTGTCGGATTTTTGTAAAAATTCTTCAAAGGAATGAAGTAACTCAGTGTTTGCATTTGGAGGGCGGTACCATGTTGATATTAGAAATGGTTTACTATTTGGCTTATTGATTTCAATGCAAATTGCCTCTACATTATTTGGTAATAAGTCATTGCGATCTTTGTATGGAATGGTATTTCTCACGTAAAGTGCCACTCCTCCTCCGTTTCGGTTTCTGCCCTTCCTTATTAAGTCATAACATGTCATCTTAACTTCGTCACTGTGTACAGTATTGTCAACTCTAG